CATACGCCCAGGTCACACAGCGTGTCGAGATCACGCTGCACCACCTTGCGGAACAGGCTGAGCTCGTGGCTAAACTCCGCAGAGCGAAACTCCATCCGCAGAAGCAGGTCCCGAGTAGTTCCTACCAGGTTCAGAAGGCGCTGGTTCGACTCACATACTGTTACAATGCAGTTGATCTGATGAATCAGCAGCTGGACCGCGAAAGGGATCTGAGCTTGCATATATCTGCTTTTGAGCTGGATGACTACCATGAGAAATACGAACACGTTCGCGAGGACTCCGAAGAATAACGTTGTCAGTAGTTCTGGTGTCATGCTTTCTGTGAGACGCGTGAACGCATGTGACAGGTCTGCCTGGAGGTGCCTCAGCCGTCTAAGTCGACTCCAATGCGGCTTACGCCCGTTGCGTGTCACGGCCTTGAGTTCGGCGTTCACCACCCTGAACCCACAGGCGACATGCTGTACCGCGAACATAAACTTTAGAGGGATGGCTTGAAGGCACAGAGTAAACAGTGTATAGGTGATGGCTGTTGCTACGAATCTAACACATGGCTTTAACGTATGACAGGTGCCCTGCCAAACGCCAAAAAGCCAGAGCGTTGTGAACAGAGTGTAAAAACACAGCACGGCGGCAGCGAGCAAGAGTTGCCCTGAAAAACGCTGAAGACTCTGTATCTCATTTGCGAATCCTGACAATCCCGTCGCCCGCTCCAGCTGGGTAAAAATGCACTGGAGGCGTTTGGCACAGCGACGCCGGCCCCAAAAGAAAGTAGTGGTGAGCCCAGCCCACAGAGCCATCGTCAGAATGATGTTCACGGTAAACGTGAACGCACTGTTGAAAATCCTACCTTCTCTGACAATGGCCTCAAGTACATTGGCCAGCATGATTTTGGTCGAGACAACCGCGTACGCCGTCATTGTGACGTACAAGGCCGTAGCGTACAGGCCGGAGCACCACCCAGGCGTGCGGTAGTGGCCGGTAGCCTTAAGAAGGGCGACGAAGACTCGATAGGATGCCGACCTGTGGATCCGTCGATCGGGTGGGTGCGAACCGAGGCTCTGATCATCAAAGGTAGTCTCCTCGGGAAGAGATTGCACTGTAGCGATACCCGCCATGCCTCAGGATGCTCGTAGAAGCCTGTGGACAGCGACGTATGCGTTACGCAGATCAGGATGACTCTAACCTTACTTTAAGGCTGTTACGGCTCATCGGGCGGCTTATCTGATTTTGCTTATCTAGTGTTATCTGGTCCCGTATGACATCAGTGTCGGCTTTCTCACTGTCGAGAACTGTCTGTCATCTGTCATCTGTCTGTCATCACTGTCATCACACCTACATCCAGTCAGCGCGACGCAGGCGGCGTCACTGTGCCGTGCTCTGGGTGACGCGTCAAACCTACGCATGTGCGCTCGGAGCCGAGGACTATAGCAGGGAACACACCCGCTGCATTCGGAGTCTAAAACAAAGAAGACTAAGCCTGCTACCCCGTCCGTCACCGAGCGCCGAGGCCCACCTGATAGAGCCGACTGCGAGCAGAGCACCGCACACTAGTGGAACGCGGCTACCGTCTGGGCTGCCCTGCCCCGCTGCTGGAGACCGCCTGTCGTCAGTCTGGCTGGCGGCCGCTGCCTGGTGGCCAATGACAGCGATCAGCGCGTAGGCGGGGCTGAGTAGCGGTATATAATCGATGTTCCTCGGTATGGCCTCCATTGGGCGGCATTTCAATGCCACGGTGTAACGATTCCGGACTGCTATGCTCAGGCACTTTTGGTGCTCAGGGGTCGCTGGAGTATTACAATGCTAAGCAATCAAAACAGCCTGCCGGTTGTATAAGAATGTTGGCGGGTGGCCGCCTCCTTTCGGCGCGTCTCTTTGCTAGCTATAGCGGGTGCGCCCCGGGGCATTCAGGTGCCAGCAGTTTGCCGTTCGTCCAGGAAAATATTCGTTTTTCGCTCCATGGCCGTTGCTGGTCGATCCGTAGGGAAGTGAAAAATTACATCAGATGCGATGCATCAGATCGTCCTGGCCCATTTCAGGCACTGGCACTGGCCATCATTAGGAATTATTTTGTGCCACGGATACCAGTAAAAAAGCTATCGATTTACAGGATATGGTCAGTAGCAAACGTGATACTTCTGTGAGCTATTTGGTGACAAAATTGCGAAAATTGAACAAATTACAACGGTTCATCCCGGTTGGACTAAACTCGAAGCTTGGTATTTGCCTGCACTCGATAACACTCGCAGCGCGAGCTTGTGCAGAGCACATGCCGAAGCATTGACGTTTTGCTGTGTGAGCAAATTGAGGTACAAAATTCTCCAAAACTTAGCACCTTAAATCAGGATAGTTTTCAGCAGGTGATACAGAAATACTAAAACTTGTACTTTATCAGTGCCGACGTCGCCTACTAACGCTGTCACAGTGCTTTTCCAAAGCCCCTCAGATCATTGCTCTTCACAGAATGCTAAGCCAAGACTTCACTTCACATACTAAACAGCATGAAATACCAAATTACTGTCGTAAGAATCATGGCTGGCCTCAGTACCTTGCGACGGAAGTTATCAGTTTGCTCCGCGGCGTTTTAAATCGTGCCACTGTAGACGGGCGGCTTCAAATGCCCGCCATGCGATTATGGACTGGGCTCAGCGCAAGGCTCTAGGCTGCCGTTCGTTGTCTTTATTGGCTGCCGTTGGTTGTGGTTGTTAGTTTCCGTTGATTGTGTCCGCATCGCAAGAGGCCTGTTGACTTCAAGGACGTAGCTATTGACTAGATAAAGGAAATGAGGTCCTGTGACAGCGAAACAGTGTGCTCAATGACCGCCGCTGACACCCAAAAGATATCCCAAGACCAAGTCTAGCACGCCTAAAAAACAAAACAAAATTACGTCCCAAACACACATAGGACTTGTCCAAGAGGTAAGAGAGGATGTATGTGGTCCAAGAATAGGTCTGAAAGTATATAGTTCCGACCTTAACTCTCGTCATGATTCGCCGTTTTCCATAACGCGGACTGATGGGGGAGGGGGAGGCTGATACGACCCTTCTGATGTTTCCAAACAAATGAAAACAAAGCTTAGCGGAAAACGTCACTGGACTAGCATCAACCAGATCTCGTGACTGATACTAGTTTTATGTTGCTAGTATAATTATTGGCCCGACTATGTCAGGTCGAAGGCCGAATTTTCCAGAAAATCGCAACCTTTTAGCTTACATTATACAAACGAGACCATGCCTTGTGGTGGCACAAAACATAAACAGTCGTGTTTCTTGCTCAATTTTAGTACAACGATGCTGATCATTATGTGTTTTGCACGTACATTTATGATATCTGTCTCCGTTAATGTAGCAATGCCAGCCCGATACGAACGTTTCATGCTAGCGTCGGTTAACGCCGCCGCCCGGCCAAGCGGCAGAAGCCGTGTAGTGTTGAAAAAGCACCGCTGCTCCGATGCCACAACGGGATAGCAACAAGCTTGTAGTGCCAAAACACGTGCAATAGATGCCTCATAGGGCCGCTGTAACCTTGGGCGCGATTGCACAACATGCTGGAGAGATATTTTCAACGAAAAAAAAAACGCTAGGGGGTTTGCATCGACACCTGAGGGTAAATAAGACGGAAACACACCTCAACCCACGAAGAGGCGGGCCTGGGACTTAGTGATATCCCTAAAGTCTGAAAAGATTCGTCGATGCCTTAAATTAAGCCGAACAAGAATTTGTGTATCCCGAAATACTGAAGGGCTCATCTAATAACCCATATGGCGCCCCCGACGCATGACCGTAACCTGCATGTATGCGCCTGATGTATATCCTTGTTAATTTTGTTGCAGCTCCTACTAAGTTCAAGAATCAACCCCAGATTCACACAAGTAAGAAATGAGCTTTCCGTGCTGCTTTTCCTTTTCGCCGTCAACCACCGTCACTCAGAAAGCGTCCGAAAATTGCGAGTCCAGACCGTCACCTTCGTGCAGCCGCACTGTTGCACATGGGCCGTCTGATGTTCTTCTTTCCCTACGGATCACCGGGGCGTGTGATGCCCCAGCGTGCACTACCGTCCTGATGCATGCTGCTCAGATCGTATGGCCACCCTGTGGATGCCCTGTTCTCGGTGACCATCAGATACGCGTTCTTCTGATCCCCGACGGCAGTTCTGCATTCCCAGTCCGCGCACTTGACAAACCCTTCTCATTCATGCAAGTCGGAAGTTTATTCATATGACACCGTTCACCAGATGGAAGATGCGAAGGCGTGCTTCTTTCCCAGCCGCTGCGGTCGTCAAAAATCCCGCACACCATTCGCTGCCATTGACACCATTGACACCATCGACACCATTCGCTGCAATTGATTGCAGCCTGGGGAAGTTCCAAAGGCGCTGTGTTACCAACCCAGCGAACCATCGTCTATTTTGGGGTTTCCGTGTGCTACAACTCACGGATTTAGCCGTTGGTTGCAACCGATGCTTCCTTTAGAGCTGAGACACTTGCACCTTCGCCAGACGGTGGTGTTGACTGTGTCGCTGATGTTTAAGGGGTGATGAAAGATGGGTCCACGCCAACGAAGGCGGGCAAGCTGGCTGCGGCTGGTGCATCCTGTGCAGTGGAGTGCCGACCGGATTGCCTCCCATGAGTCGCACCGTAGAGAAGAGGAAATACAGACGTCCAGGGCGTTAACTGTCGTCATCGAGGAAACTGGCGCGTCCTGACTTGGGCCGAAACTCTAGAAGTGAGGACGCTGGTGTCTAACTCGGCCGAGAGGACCTGTTGGGCGGGTTTACATGGAGCCAGAGGAGCCGGGCGGTGGAGGTCCCGGGGGTCCGGGAGGAGGACCCATCGAGCCGGAAGAGCCGGGCGGTGGCGGTCCTGGGGGTCCGGGAGGAGGACCCATCGAGCCGGATGAGTCGGACTCCGGGGGTCCCGGGGGTCCGGGAGGAGGGCCCATGGAGCCGGAGGAGCCGGGCGGTGGTGGTCCCGGAGGTCCAGGGAGGAGGACCCATCGAGTCGGATGAGTCGGACTCCGGTGGTCCCGGAGGTCCGGGAGGAGGACCCATCGGAGCCGGAGGAGCCGGGCGGTGGCGGTCCCGGAGGTCCGGGAGGAGGACCCATCGAGTCGGATGAGTCGGACTCCGGGTGTCCCGGGGGTCCGGGAGGAGGGCCCATGGAGCCGGAGGAGCCGGGCGGTGGTGGTCCCGGAGGTCCGGGAGGAGGACCCATCGAGTCGGATGAGTCGGACTCCGGTGGTCCCGGGGGTCCGGGAGGAGAACCCATCGAGTCGGATGAGTCGGACTCCGATGGTCCCGGGGGTCCGGGGGGAGGGCCCATTGAGTCGGAGGATCCAGAGGAGCCGGACGGCGGCGGCGGTCCAGGAGGAGGACGGGGGCCTGGGGGACGTGGCCTTTGGGGACGGCCAGCCGTCACCGTCAGCACCACCAGCAGAAGACACAGTGTAAGAGCACGCATGTTGCCCTGCGTGTGACCGATGAAGACATGCCGACACGCACCCGGAACAAGTCTTTTATACTGTCGGCGACAAAAGCTCCCCAGATGCCCTGCAAGTGCGCGGTGCGTATTGCTGACGTCCGTTTTTGCAGGGTCAAAGGCTAAAAAGTCTAGTCATGCAGCCAACGACTTTGCGCGTTGATTTTCTTCATGGTTTAACTGGTGACACATGTGCTAGTGCGACACTCACGCGATGCCTTTTGTTCGGACAAAGCTACCGTCACGTCATCGTCTCTCGGGCTTCAAGTCACCCAGTAACAAACATCGTTGGCTGTTGGCAGCAGCGTCTGACAATGTCCCAGCACTTGGGTGGCGGCAGGGGTGGCAGCACAGCCGCGCTATCATGACAGCAAGCACTTCTGCACGGTGACAGCGCTTATGCCACTGATTGTGCTGTAGGAATATCATGCCGGTTGGTTTTTAGTGCAGAGGTTAGATTTAAACGCGCTACTGATTGAGAGCGACCCCGCCTCCTGTCGCATATGACTTTGATGTGTCATTCTCTGCAAAACAGGGATGCCGTCCAACGACAGATTGGCTTCGGGCCGACTGAACTGGCAACCGAGGAACTGGTAACCCGATACGTTCGCGTAGAAATGGGAGCGCGTGTATCGACTCACGAGCTGATTCACTGAAAATGTGCCCCTGTGTATATTACGCCAGATCTGAGTCAATTTGCATACAGAGCGAAACATGTAAGATTAGGAAAAACCGCACGCTCACACTTGGGGCGCTAAAAAGTCAATAATCCATGCATTGGCGGATCTAGCTGTACTTTTGGAGATAAGGCAAAATCGTGCTGAAGATAACCTAGCGCTACCCTAACTTGCATTTCTCTTTGATTCACTCACTTCGCTTTTTGCAGCCACCTGCATGTTTCTAATAGTAAATTTCACATGAAAATGAATATTACGGAAGATCTAATCTATCCAGGGTTTTATAATCTCAACTGTTCTCTAACACGCACACGCTAAGGCTCATTTTGTTATGAGATAGCTGTGAGCATTCCAGCGGCAGCGTCGGTGACACGAAGAAACACGATTTTTCCGATGGAATGTTCTGGTGTTGGCAGGTGCACAGCTACATGCGACGAGCATACGCTTCCGGAGGGTGGCGAACAGCTGGCTATGATATTAACCGACTTGGGCATCCAAAAATTCCAAACTACACTGTAGCCGTAGTGTTAATGAACTTCAAGCAGCAGGAGCCAAGTCGGGTACTCAAATTTGTGAAGCCGAGCTGCAATAATGAAAAAGCATCGTCAGATCTGGATTGGCGGCTTGGTGATGTCTGAATCCCACGTCCGGTGCCTGGATCTCGAGTTCTTCAGCAGCGCATGATATTTATTTCAACTTTTGTTATTATCCGATCTATCCTGTGAATTTTAAGAGGAAAATAAATTGGTTTACTCCCTGTGGTGACTAAAAAAACGGTCACACGTATTGCTGGCGCTTTGCCTGTAGAGCTTCCAAAGTGCCAGAGGTGCGGATAGGTGTGGGAGTACGGAGTCCACGTGGCCCTATCCTGTAGTGTGCCGGGGCCACAAGGTCGACGGCCTCCAGATCGGCGGTGAAGGGCCTGATAGGAAGACTCGAGCTAAAGAAGGAATAGCCAGAGGTCTTCTTTAGAAACTCCGGTCCTGCGGACAAGGGGTCCTTGCATTTTAGCATGAAGGCCTCTTGCGGTGATCGCGGGCCACTCGAACGGTGAGAGCCCTTTTATCGGTCAGAGATCACCAATGGCGATCAGTCGGCTCGGTGTCAGCCTAGGGGTCATTTCCTAAGCAGTGACAAGACCGAGGCCCGTGCACGTCCGAGAGCTTCTCGCCTTGATCTCTCTTACAATGAAATGAAATGTGATAAGGAACTACAATGATACAATTAAAGACGGCCCCCACGTCGAAGACACCGAGTTTCAGGTGTACTATATTCCATGACCGCCCATCGCCAACACCGTGCCTCAACTCCTCGTAGACGCTGACAGGGAAAACAACGAAACCTCGGAAATGGACCGACCAGACCTAGAACTAAACAGGGCGGAAACAGACAGAACAGAGACTAAGATCACCAATACAAAATGAATACGAAAGTAGCATGGATTGGCTAACACTAAATTAGACCTCACGATGATAGCAAACTAAGTGACTCAACAAACGAGAAGCGAACACTAAATCAAACTAGACATGCAAACGGTACACCGACTACACAATGGTGTCATCGGGACCCCAGCAGCGAACGTGGGCTCCTCCGTCTCGGTTCGGGTAGGGTCCAACAAGCTCATCTGGGCCCTGTAGTCCCTGGGCCCATTTTCGAACCCTTATACGAGAAAGGGATCATTTAGCGTCAGTGGAGGCCTTGCACCGATCCGTAGCCAGTTGCTCCGTCCAGGGGCCTCCTGCTCTATGTAACAATGTTAAACAGGGATCGATACATGATATAGCGGTCTGAGAGCTGCCGCATCGACTAGAGTCTCTTGTCGCCACGTCGCTCGAATAGCAGCCGGTAAGTCCCTCGGACCTACCGGCTACCGTCCCTCGGACTGGAACGGAAAGACCCTCCGGCCTCTGACCGGGAGAGGCGATGGGCCAGCTATTCTTCTGCTTGCTAAGCCCTCTGTCGGGGAAAGGTGAGGGGTCTCCTTAATATGTACAATCGGAGGGTCTCCTCAACGAACGCGACCGCCGGCATGGTTGAATAAACAAAAATGGCGGTGCGACTGTGCGAGGAAACGTATAAGAGCAGTACTGCAGTTTATTATATCGTTGGGAGTGGAGGCGGGAGGTCACAGCATTAGTGCCACGGCAACAGCACCTACCGACAGGAGTGCTTCGACATTTTTTACACGCGTCATTACTTCTGCTGCAGTAGAAGCTCATGCAGTAGAAAAAATCGTGCATAAAGTAATGACTGCATGCATTTTAGCTGTAAAAGTAAAGACGGATATAAGTTTCTGAAGGATAAGTTTTGCTGCGCAGCACCAATTTCGTATAATTATTTGTAGAAGAAATAGCGTTACGGTTAGGTTTAAGGATAGGACAAGTCGTCGTCCACACCGGTCCCAAAGGTGCACCCAAAGCCCGGTCAAGTGTTCGTGTCGGTGGCAAGCTGGTGACGAATGGACCTGATGCTTTTTAAATAGGGCATAACTGCAGCTGCATCAAATGCCTAAAATGCATTAAAAATAATTCAGTTCAACTCAACGAGAATTCGCGAGGACGTGACAGTTAGAATGGCAAGACAGTAAGAGGGAGGAATGGGGGAGGCATACCCTTGTACTAGCCAAGAATAAGTGAGGCGATGCGGCGCTGGCGGGTGTGCGTGCTTGCGATGAGTGTGGTGGGGCGCCGAACGCAAGAAGTATGTGTGTTTTAGTTAAGGACGAGCGAAGCTCCCAGGGTTCATATCCAGCGGGCTGTTGCCAATGTAATTCGCTGCCAACACAGGATCTCAGCCAGTTTGGACGTGTGTACCATGAGCTTCAGAAGTTGCATTCTTCTCATTGCATCTAGGTCCATTTTGTCCTGTTTCAATATTATCAACACCTAAACAGTGGAGGTGGGACACCCTGGTCAAGGGCGAACAGCCATGCTTGGGGAGCCAGCCGTTCGTGGTGCCTGACCGGACCTACCGTCTCGCCAGTACCTCTGTCACCAGCCTCTTCATAGCTCTGTGGCTCCCACGTGTATGCCGATGACGGTGTAGCGGAGTCTTTGCGTGCAGAGTCGGGCGCTTGACATCATTCGGCTCGATGCTGACCAGTGGGCTTCTCCTGACATAGTCTGTTGTTGTGAGGAGGAGTGGCAGCAGCAGCCGGCGACGCAGAACATCAGCGGCAGCCGGGCGGCGGCGTCCGCGCCTCGCACCAACCCCGGAAACAACGACATGGCTTGCCCGGGACGTCGAGATCTGATATAAATCCCCAAAAACGTTCCAAAACCGTCAAATCTTCTGCTTCCTCACGAGCGCAGCTGCGCGTGCCGACCTGGGTTTTGTCTGGGTGCCTCCCGTTTCTTTTCCTAGTCGAAATGTGTTGATCCTGTTTAGGTGTAACACTCCGTTGCCGGGATACGTACCGGCTTTGACTCTCGACCCGGCGACATCTGGCAGGTTGCAATTTTGTGGCTTGCTGTTAGAGCCTCGTTCGACCACCGCACACATTGCTAACAGATTAAAGTCATAGTTCTGCTGCTGCGTACTACGTGCGCTACCACACAGCATTGGCAGTGGCCGGTTTTCACACCGTTCGAAGGCAAGAGGTCGTCCGCCGTAGGCGTGTTTGTTTGTTTGTTTGTTGTTTGACGTTTTAGGGCGAGCCGACTATTAAAGTCATTTTGCGCCCTACCCCATAGACAGAATCCGCATAAGCAAATATAGCAAGGAGGTCAAAATGTATTTTTTATATCAGACCAGCGACAGTGTCCAGGCTGGCGCCTTCCTAGCTGACAAACAGAGGCCGGCAGCATGCTCTACCGCGACCCCGTCAGGTTAGCTCTAGCCAATCAACTCAATCATATCTAACACGCTTCCAACATTTTTCCGCATGTCATTCGGCTTGCGTTAAATACGAGGGACCTGTTGACAGCCGACTTTGTGTGGATAAGCTGAGTGGGGAAATATAAACAGACACAGGTGCACATTACTCGATAACGTTACCTAGCCGACAAATTACTCAGGCTGCGAGTCTTCCAAAGCTGAGGAAGGTGATACAAAGTGAAGCCCATGTACGTGAAGCGCCACCACTTCTTATCACGACAAGATGGAACACCTCACTCCAAGGCTTCGTCCCTGGCCCATGCACTGATCTAGCGTCGCTTCATAGAATATCATCAACAGCGCGCGGCCGCATCTCGGCCTCTTCCTGATGGAAAAGGCGAGTTTTACGGGGGAATGCAGGGATACCTGGACTCCAAGGAAATTCATACCCACACCATGACGGATCACAACCCCGCTCAGTGCAGAGGGCCACAGTACATCAGCGTGCACGCCTGGCGCCGGTATGCCCTCGGAAGCATCGTGTTCACACCTTGACGCACTATACGAGGTTTGTCTACATACCGACGGAGTGCCCGAAGCCAGGCGATATCTTGACAGAGCACCCGTGCCTGCCCAAATCCCGGCAGAGAACCGAAGCCCACGCCTACACGCTGATCGAGTTGGGCACGAACGCCGGATCGAGCCACGGGTAGGGGTACTCGGCCGTGGCGTTACGGGCGGCGATGGTCTCACTGAGCGCGCGCAGCTCGGCCCGCAGCGTCTCCGCCGCCTCGGAGCCCACCGGGTCGTACATGTAGCGCACCTCGAAGTCGCCCAGACTTTGTGTGCCACGGTAGCTGAGCAGCTTGGTAATGACCATGATGTCGCGGGAGGTGACTCGGTTCGGCAAGTACGACATCAGGTCGTCCTCCGTCGGCTCCGGCGCCTCCTTGGAGTTCGGCGCATTTCCGTACAGGATGCCCGGGTAGTTGGGCACGAAGCCGTATTCCTCGTACTGGGCAAAGTTGGCGGCCGCGTGGCCCAGACTGCAAGCCGCGACCACGCAGGTGACGACGTCCACCACCTGCGAGACGTCGGTGAAGCCTGGGAACACAACACAGAACACGCATGAGCACGGCTGGCACCGAGCACGGCGGACGCGCAACGTGGGGCCGCTGGTCAATGCCAGGAACTCACCGAAGTAATCGAGGCTGGACAAATGCGTGTCAAAACACCGTTAGAACACGCTTAGCAGGGATGATGAGACTGAACTATACATGCTGATTATGACCCAAAGCATAGAAGGACGTGTGTAAATCAGGTCGACGGCAGACTCAGCGCAGCGGCGGCGTAGGCGGCCGCACCTGTCTCGTCGTCGCCGGGCACGCCGAGCAGGCCGACGCCGCCCTTGTCCCGGGGTCGAGTCAGCTCACGCCGCCACTGCTGCAGCTCCCAGTCGTCCTTCAGACGCTCCGGGCTGCTGTACACCATGCTGACCACGGCGCGCACGTAGCGCTCCAGCGCCGCGTAGAGGGCGCAGGCGTCGTCCCGGTACGGGTAGTAGGGCAGCACGGCGCGGGTCAAGCACGCCACGGGAGGCCACCTGTTTTGGCACGATGCCCAGCGTGTCCATTCTCCACGTCTTTATCCTGGGGGAGTACAACGGTTCAGGAGAGAACAAAACAGCACCTGGTGTGGTACGACACACAGGGTTTCCGTCTGCCACGTCTTTATCTGCAGTGTACAAAGTGACAAGGAAAGTGAACAGGGCAGCACCTGATGTGGTGCGACACACAGCGTGTCCACGCGCCGCGTGCTTTGCCTGAGACGGGTACCACGGTGACAGGACAGAACAACATGCGACCGAACATGGTAAGATCCACAAGGGTGGCTGTGTGCTCATCAGGTCAGTTTTCATTTCGAGGAGAGTGCCGTGCGGCCGGGCGAGAGCAAGAGAGCCGAGGCCTGTTACATGTGGCGTGGTACGATACGCATCTGGCTACTGGAAGAGCAGTTGGGCTACGGAAGTAAAACGTAACAAGGAATGTTGGGATGCATGACAACTAGGGATAACAAAAATCAGTGTCTTCACACAGCCATGCGGATGAAAAGCCCATGGTACACCTGAATCATGCTTGAAGGGAGTAGCGGAAGCAGTGGGAGTGAAGGAAGTAGTATGTCTAATTGTCGGATAGGCGAACACGTATTGATAGGGAAGCACTGCAATCATCACCAGTTCATGGCTTCATAGGAGACTTCATCACAAAAACAGTCTAAGGTTCCGAAGCGTAATCACACGTCAACGCCTCAACGCGGCCACCGTGTCACCACCACTACCAGAAATCACCGCACAACTCAAAACTCACGACCTGTGCCCACCCTGTCGCTCACCCTCGTCTGATGAGGTCGAACATGCCGTTGACACCGACTGTCATGCCCTTGTCCACCCAGCCTCCGGGCGAGATGAGCTTCTCCAGCCCCCGGCTGTTGATGGCGATCAGGTAGAGGAAGTGCGGCGCCACCAGACGAAAGACGGGGTGCGACGGCGACAGGTTGCGGTGCGTGCAGATGACGACCCCCTCCATCAGCAGGTGCGTGAAGCCCAGGTGGGTGCACGACTGGTGCTGCTGCGCCTCGGCGTTGTTGTAGAACATCTTGGCCAGCAGCCAGAGGTTCGGCGGGTCGCTGGGCAGGAACACCTGTCAAAGGGCGAAGGGGCCAAACCATCACGCGAGCGTACAGGCGGAGCAGAGCAATGGTATAGCGATGTAATTCATGCAGACACCGCTCAGAAGACGACCCCTTTCATAACATCATAAAGGTTCAGCACTTTAAGACCAGGAATGTTACTCACTTATCGTGTTGCAGACGAGCACACACGTGCTGATACATATCCTTTTACCCGCAGACCTGCTCATTCTCAGTATTCCACTTCCCTCGTTCCCATTCCCAGGTCCCAGTAGCGAACACTAAATGGTTTATGTTCTCGTACACCGACGTGGCATGGATGTAGAAGGTATTGCTCATGGCATGGCATGGATGGCAAAATGACTGGCACTCTGGCACAGTGGTGATTTGGTTGGATCTATTCCACGACAGTGGCACACTGGTGATTGGGTAGGATCTGTTCCACAGCAGTCCAGATTTGTTAGCCACTTGCATATCAGTTGTCTTATAAGCGTGTACCTCGACATTTGCGTTCATACGCATTTCCTGGGCGCTGATAACAAAAAGCACGCCATGACCAGCATATCTTTTGCGCTGTGTTCATCTGCATGACAATAGCGTAAACTAAGACAGTCAACGTTTGCTCCCAGGCAGCTGACACAGACACACACGAAACTGGATATCTTTCGTCATGTGCGCAAGTGGTCGAACTAGGACTTTAACCGAAACAACACGGAAAGAGAAGGATTTCTCAAGACTGAGAATACGTTAAAAAGTCGAAGATTGCAGTGGCATTAAGGATTCAAGAGGCACGAGACAATATTTCTGTAAAAAATATAGTGCATGCAGGGTAGAGTGACAGCCATGTCAACGGAAGACGCAGAGCTCATTTATGACAGTCATGTGTACCAATCAGTGTAGTAGCAAGGTTAGAGCGTTGATTATGGCATGATTCGATTTTGGACCAAAATCAATACGGCATGCTGGCTTGTCTCTGGCAAAGTCAAGGATGTGTGTGCAATTCGCGCGGTGTTTTGTCAAATTTTCTGACATGTTCGGAGGTTTCAGCCCATTGATCGATCTAAATTGCAAAGTCAAGTTAGGTCATGCAGTGGGCCAAAGCCCCTGAATAAGTCAGAAAGTGATTTGGTGCCGTGCATCAAGCATCTCTACTAGTGCTAGAGCTGGACGCATGGGTGGGTCGTCCAGAGCAAAACTGGACATATGCCAAAACGCGATTGGAAGTTATCATCTGCGTGAATCTTATAATTATCCAAGCGTTTGAACCCATTTACCGTTGTATATGCTCGTTTCAACCTGAGTGCGTGCCTATCTATCAGCCCAAACGCATGAGCATGAAGTTATAATGACTGTCAGTGCCTGACGTAGATTTTGGCCAGGGACCAATAGAGCATTGCTAAGAAACGTTGAACATTTCGCAACAAACGGGCATTCCTTGGTTAGGAAAAATGAGCATGTGATATATTTTGCCGGGATAGAGGAAGACCACCTTGAGAAGGTACGTTCACAGAGACAGCCCAGTCAGCAGGTACCGGCTTCCGCCAAACAGTCACTATTTCCAAAATAAATCATGCCAGCACAAAGCTTGCGCGAACCGGCAGGAGCAAGACAATTACAAATTTGATTTGTCCGTCGCCATCTTGCGGATAATTCAAATGATGCCCAAAATTATGATCATGAAGACAGCAGACATCCTTTGAAACCCTTACCAATAATTTGATCAACATATTGGAAAGTCTCTGTTCCATGAGAATTTAACAAACGGAGTTGCACTGATATAGTGCTCACTCCCAAGTTCACTGCAAAGGTCTTTCGAAAGTTGGCTGCCAGTGAGTCTTGCCAGGCTTGAAACTTTGATCGAAAAAAGTTACGAATCTGCACATGCTTGCCGCGTTTCGATTTGCCGCGAAGGGATTACAAAAGAAAATCGCAAAAATTCTGCGTGGACATCGGTTGCAAAAAGGCTAAATGCTCGAATAGTTTTCGGGACCCCGTCTGGCTAAATATATTCCATTACGTATTCTTATCCAGACAGCTTCCGGCAAACGTGACACTGGTTGCTTTCCGGTCGATTTCCCGGGCGCCCATCAGTTGATTAGTTTGAGATTCAGTGCTAAATTTTAGCCGGTCCGCTCATTTTCACATACTGTTCTACCATTGTTGCTGAGATTTTACGCTATTATTCAAGAGTCCCAAAACGGGCGGCTGTACAGCCTGCGCTCAGGCGCGGGTGAGCAACTGCCAACAGAACCCACATCTTTTCCGGGAAGATTGATCTTTCCTTATTCTGTCGAAACGCACTGGTCTCGTGACGCTGCAACGTCTGGTGTCGATACCTCGGATTGGTTTCGGCCCACGCTCCTCAGTTTTTTTCATCGTTGGAAATTTCTTTCCTATCCCATGTTATTTGAAGAGGAAGGTAAAATCGTCGTGATAATGCAATGCTGAGGGAAAACCTACGTCATAACGAAGAGTGCAGGCAAACGCTTACAATTTATACAGCACAATTTTTACGAATTTCCCTTTGTGTACTCAAATTTGTATGAGCCTGCAGTCAGTGGTTGCAAATATTTTGTTGTCTATGAGGCGTTACAAACGGGCCTGGCACGGCCGAGTCACTCAAGTTGAAAATGCATTAAAAAATACTTCTAGCGAGAGTTCAGGCGCGGGCAGCGGTCGCTTCCGCATCGAGATTCACGTACCGGGTTGTCAGGTCCTTTGTTCTGGAACAGCTGAATGGCCAGAGGCATCAGCTCGTCACTCTTGTTCAGGTAGAAGAGAGCAATGGGAGAGCACAGCTGAAAACGGAAACCATTCACAACATAGCGTACGGAGTGGCACCCATCTGATGTCGGGTTTCAGCCTATGCTTAAGTCATACCATGATCACTCAATCTAAGTACTACCGCTGTGACGAGATATCTCATAAAAGCAGCATTCCAAAGAACCAGCATGCTATGGCATTTCTGAGTAAGAAGACATTGCTTGCGTTAGGAAATAGACAGTGCACACATCGCAAACATTGCCCTTAGCGAAAGGAGCTATATCTAATCAGGAGCATGATAACACGTGATGGATTCAATTCCAACGTCCATATTCCATCAGGACAAGCCGTAAAATATCACTTAGCATTTATACAGAGCCGGGCCACGTCCAGGCTGAGGCCCATCAAAGGTCGGGTCACTCGCCTGTGTATTCTCGACAGGCTCAATGCCTTCCAGCATGTGCAGATCCACGATGAATATTTTGTTGCTCCGCAGCGCTTCGTCCAGCGTGAGGTCCTCCAGGAAGGGCTTCAGCATGGCCTCATCCACGCCCATCCTGATGGCGTACATCACGAAATGACAGCCAATAACTTGTTTTGATATGAATACGAGCCATTTGGGTCAGAAGTGAAAATTTATGGCTATGACATAAAGGAGAGGGGAGAATATTAAGGCAAAACGTCATGCACATGGCGGTCCACTCGCCCAGACTTAGCCCTCACACGTACCCCTACACGGTATACAAGCTCCGTGTCCAGACGGGCCCGACCAGCGGCCACTTAAGCCCACTCGTGGCTGACACATGTCGCCTGCCCCCAACACACGGGGCGTCGCAAGGACGCAGGATAAAGAGAGAATAGAAGAGAGATGGCAGCCGCTAGACATCAGCATGTATTGCCAAGTCTAACGCACTTGACGGTCGCAAAGAACATTTCCATCACCAGCGCTGAGCCAGAAAGAGCTTTCGCATCCACACGACAACAAATCAACTCTGCTTTACATGTAATATTCGTTGATTTGACCTAACTACAACGGCACCCACATGGAGCGATTGAAACTCACAGTGCTGAAATGATGCCTCTACGGCCAGTCTATACGAGCTTCCAACATCTACTAGCATGGCTGGGCGACAACATACTTGTTCCAAAGCAGCGGACAGTGTTTTAAGTCGACGGCTCATTACTCTCGCATCTAGTAACACGCGGGAGCGAGGGGAGCGAAGCTACCAAACTCTTCGACTCGAACATCGCGCTCGTGTTTTAAATAAAGCATCCAGATGAGGGTAATGCAAAGAACATATCCCCAGGTATCAATTGAATCCTCTAGTTTCCAAGTCTAGTACTATTGCAGAGGTCCATCGCTATCTTTACACCATTTTTGCTCCGCGAGAGCCTATTAAAGCGATATACACAGCACCGAAGCTGTACTGAGCGACACCTTGGTTGCCAAATACCATGTGCTAAGCATTCACTTCAGACGTGGAACGTCGTTGGAACATTGCGTGGCAAACCTTCAGCGTCTGCCCCATCATAACCTTTTACGAGCATTAAACACTAGAACAAAAGCGCACGGTCATTCGACTAAGCTAGAAGCTATTTCGGGCGCACACCGCGAGGTCATCGCCAGACGCCAAGGGCAGCGCTCAGTTTTACGTGCAACCATTAAGGTGAGCTAGGCGTGAAATGAGGAGAGGAGAGAGAGAGAGAGAGAGAGAGAGAGAGAGAGAGAGAGAGGAGAGAGAGAGAGAGGAGAGAGAGAGAGAGAGAGAGAGAGAGAGAGAGAGAGAGAGAGAGAGAGAGACGAGGAGAGAGAGAGAGAGAGAGAGAGAGAGAGAGAGGAGAGAGAGAGAGAGAGAGAGAGAGAGAGAGAGAGAGAGAGAGAGAGAGAGAGAGAGAGAGAGAGAGAGAGAGAGAGAGGAGAGAAAGCGACGGAGGGAGGGAGAGAAAGCGACGGAGGGAGGAAGGGAGCGAGGAAGGGAGAGAAAGAGAGAGGGGAAGAGGGAGAGAGGGAGAGGTGACTACACACATGCGAGCCAATCGCTTATCGCCAGAACCTTCTTGTTTATGACCTTGGGACAGATATGCGCTTTCGCAGAGCCGTGGAGTCAGTTTCGGTCGACGCAAGGAGCTGGAGTAAGACGGACAGGTGTAGCTACGACCCACAGATACATTGCCTCGGGGGGGGGTGAGGGGGGAGGGGGGGGGGGTGAGGGGTGAGGGGGGGGGGGTGAGGGGGGAGGGGGGGGTGAGGGGTGCGACCTACAGATGCATTGCGGCGGGTGCGCCTGGGTACGGTTTAAGGATGTACTGTGGCAAGTGGGCGGTGGGCATGGGTAAGACCAACCTATGCACCACCCAGGTGGGCATGGGTACGGTCCAAATGTACAATGGGAAAAATGGAAGTGGGTACGACCCACATGTGAACTCTGGAATAATTGGTGTGGCCACGGCCTACCTATGCACTGCAACTGATGGAAGTAAGAATGGGTAAAATGGGTCGATACGGGGAAGACTCAGGGGTGAACTGGGAACCTGTGCTTGAGCAAGGCGGGGAGGGCTTAGTGTTAATCCCATATGGGAATCAGCTCCTCACGAAGTGCCGATAGAAACACGCAGCTGGTCATCGTGGACGTGAGTGGGTAGATAATGCAAGCACATCAATGGATGCATTAAGCTATAGGCGTACACGCATGGACAATAGTAGGAGTAGACAGATGCACATTGGGGCTACTTTGAACTCTTTTGTTCTGTCTTCGGTTTGTTTTCCTGGTGGTGAAATTTCCGGTCGTTGGTTTATTTTCCTTTGTGAAAGTGAGTGACGAAAGAGCCCATTAAAGGACAGAGCAGACCTCGATCCGAATTCTGGCAGACGGTAGATATGCGGGAGAGCCGTGCGATGCCAGATTCTTCAAGAGGTGGCTGCAGTCGTATTTGTTCACCGATACTTTGCTTCTCTGCTCCACAGTGAGAAGGTACCCATCGGCAAGCACGACCTAAAGGAGATGAATCCTGAACCTACGTATCGCTAACACGTCGCAGGGTTCACACCCCGCCTTGACCTCAGTCACACTGCCGATAAGACGCGACAGACTCACTTGTCAGGGATGGCGTCGCAGAGCGTTATCATCACCGGATTGACGCCCTGCACGCGCTGCAGACCGAACCAGCGGTCCGTCGACCAGAACTGCATCGCCTGCAGGGACACAAAGGGTCACTGCGAGGCGGCGAGGTGCCACACCTATTTCAGTATGCGCTGCTCACCGCGTTCCGAAATCGAGCGTCGTGAAACAAACTGGACGCGTGACGTGTGGCGTGCGACGAGTGGCGTGTGGTGTGTGGTGTGTGGTGTGTGGCGTGTGGGTGTGGTGTGTGGCGTGTGGCGTGCGGCGTAGTGGCGTAGTGACATGTGACGTGTGACGTGTGACGTGTGATGTGCGACGTGTGGCTTGTGACGACGTGCGGTGCGACGAGTGCGGTGATGTCCGCCTTACGGCTGGATACTGTGTCCCGCCCCCTGTGCACACCCGATGCGTGAGCGGCAACACAGCACTGCACACTACTTCTGTAAGGTTTCCTGGTCGCAACTTTGACTTCCTGACAGTCAAACCCGATGTCGCGGCCTTTGGTGGCAAATATTTCCTCAGGCTCAAACACTGAAGTCATTACTTTTCAACTTTCTCCTCGACATTGTGCCATTCTACTGAAATTCAGTGATGAGTACTCCAGCGCATTTTAGTGGCAACGCGCAAAGCATTTTATGCTGACGGAAAATATGATGCACCCAGCTCGGGAAAATATTCGTAGCCTTCCCGAGTCGCTGCAAGCATTAGTCATGACAATCAACATCAGTCCTCATTCGCTGTGCAACGCCAACCGAACGGTCACGCTGCACGCGAACACCGACAGCATTTTTCCTGACCTTGAACACCGAGGATTCGAGGAGCAATCGGGTTACATCACACAATAAGAGCCGTCGGAATCTTCCGGAATGTGTCAGCTGCCATTGCATGACACTTCGGGTTTCACATAAATCTACGATTAAGCCGTGTGTGAACACGCATGGTCACAAAACAGCACAAGCGATCCGGTCCAACAAAAACGATTTCGCCTTATATTCTGCAAAACAAGTCCAAACTGCAACGAAAGTGTCCGCCTGTCGGCTTACAGTGGTTTTCGTCTGAAGAAGACAATAGGCCATATCTTCGGTCTCGCAACGCTAACGGAGCCTACGGTAGAGGGAAATTCACAGCACGTGCAGCACGGCGAGAGGGGAGGGCACTTACTGCCGGCTCGCCGAGGCTGTTTTGGTATGCCTTCATCAGTTCCGCGAAGGACGCCCACTTGTTGGTAGAGGAACCGATGGTCGACGTCTTTAGCAAGAGACGTGCTTTCTCTTTCAGAAAGTCAAACTGAAACCACCGGAGAGTTGTCAGCGGCACAGTACAGCACCTGATACCTCCAGTACCGGACTTGACATCGCGACCGACGGCTCAGCTGAGGCCTGGTTCACACGGTGGTGATGCCACCCTTGCAGGAGGTTGCCTGTCGAAAGTTTGGACTGCACTTCACCCTTGCAATGGTCGCCGCTCAAGCCACCTTCGTGTTGTAACCCTTGTAGGGTAGTTCCGGGAGCCCTTTCTACCATTTTTTTTTCTGTCGGCCAATAGCATTAGATTTCATGTTCACAATAGGTGAATCATTGTCCGCGAATAAAACGAACTGCCCGCGCCGAGAGATAAGGAAATGATTTTTGAACAAAAATATGACCTATCGGGCCTTTTGTACGTCCAGCCCGGCTGACAGCGCCTGCGAGCCAGACAACGCGGCGGCACCCGGCACAAAAAACAACAGTTTCTTCAAATAGTTAATAGTGCGCGCGAGCATAGTATCCGACACTGCACCGTTCAAACCGGATGCAAGGTGTCATCGTGGATGGCATCGTGCACAATGAGCATATTTGGAAAACGGACCGGCTGGGATTGGATGGGCACCCAGCATCGTTCTGTGATACTTTTGCAGAGCGTTCTGGTGAAGGACAAGAACACTGATACCATTTGATTCCTTGCCTAAGCTGGCGTAGACTGTTGTGTACTTTGATTCTTTGGCCAGCCAAACAGCGTCAATACCGAACGTATCATGACCGTTCACGAGTCACAGCGCCTTAGCTTGCGGTAGCGCCCGGTCCCCCAATACCATGCGGCGTTCTGTGACCGAATAAGCGGGATTTGAACACTCGGGACATTTTTGTTTGCCGTAACTTTGATAAATCGATGTCATGACAGCTGCTTCAATTTTCGAATGTGTAGACTTACTAGTTTCTGCGCAATGAGCAAAACACAGAGGGGGCTTCAATGATACCCTCCAAGGTGAGGGTTAAAATTTATACACCACAACATCGGGCAGCCCCAATACTTAGGTATTTTGAGTAAAGTTGGTCGGTTCACACGCTGAGGGTGTTCTTTAGAAAGGTATACATGCAAATGGAAATGCGGCCCATACCGGAAAAACGCCCTATACACGTTAACCACTAACTAATCAATGTCACAATTCACAAATGTAAGCTACTGGCTGTAGGCAATCCACATCTCGCATGGAACCAACACAGTATATGACCAGAACATAAACCAAATAGTCGTTGGGAATCACGCCATTGTCTTGCACCAAATACCTTGTAGGAAAACGAGAACATTTCATCTTCCGGAAGGTCCTTGATCTGAAACAGAAAGTCCGAATATCAGAGATCTGGAGAATTCTGATGTAGCTCGTAGTTTAAAGCACCACTGTTTTTCGAGCGCAATTAAACCGCAAAATTATGTAACGTGACACTGGCAGGCGTCACTGGTGTCACATAACTGAGTCACTTCCGCCATAACCGAAGGTCTCCGCGACGGAGGACGCTGGTAAGTTATATATGCAGATCCCTGAACTAGAAACTTTTGTATGCAAAAGGGCGTGCCACACGTGTGCCCTGGACATGCATTAAAACGATCACCTGCCAGTCATTTTAATTGATCACATATTGCACGATTTAGGAACCCGAACAGGCCCAGATTTCCATGGCCCGACGTCGCAGCCTCACGAGATCAGCTCATTCTGACAAAGCAGAAAACGGACAGCCGTATTAGCACGAGTGCGAACCGGTGTGTGCGGCCGGTAAGACTGTGTTCAGCGTAGAACAAGGCTTCAAGCTACATGAGGCGACAGTAGGGCACAACTTCGGCAGGTCAAGTCCATGACAGACAGCGAGACAAACACCACGTTGCCCCCAGATAAACCCTCTTTTCGGAAGGCTGCTAATCGATGCAGCTCAGGTGAATTCCCAGTAGCCCCCAGCACGCTGCGAAAAGTTTTTGCGCCGCGCCGCGCCACAAGTGAGCCGAATAATGCATGTCTGAGCTGATGCATGCCAATGACCGCATGACGTCACAGGAGCTGAGGCATGCACAGTGAGACGGCAACAATTGTATGCAGTGGCGGCCAAGAGCCGGCCACCGCGCGACGAGTGGTTTATTGGCCAAAGCTGTGACGTACGCGTGCGCTTTCCAAGGTATAACCGAAACTCCTCATGTCATGTCATGAAACAAAACAAAAACCTCATGTCAAGAACAGTCGAGGCCATAGTGTTTGACCACTTGTCACGCGTTGTGCTTCTAAGTACAAGAGAATGCTGTCTCCCAAACGAAATTTACAGGTTCACGTACGGAACTAGATCAAGGGCGTCCTCTCTGTGCTGCAGAGCTTGTCTCAAATGTGCCCTAGGTGGCGCAGATTTCTATTTGGATGCACATTTTGAGAAAGTCTTCGGTCGGGTTGCCAGCACACCACCAACAATGTACGTTTAGTAGGATTTACCTGGTCTTCACTCGTCAAAACCCAAAGCGTTTTTTCATTAGGTTATGACAAAGTCACTTTTGTTATAAATCACATGCAAGCGTATAACAACTTCTTCCAATAAGAATGTGTTTCGTTCACAACGCCATTTCACTACAAGGTCTATAGACGACATGTTGGAGCTACACTGGAAACCTGGAAACTCAGTCTTCGGCCCAAGTATATAATCTCGTTGGCACAACTTGTCCCATGACCGCCAAAGTATAACTAACGTGATACAGCGAGTTCGTGGTCTCCTGACATTTCCCCAAAAGAGTACATTCGAGAAGCTTTACTTTCGCACTCCTGAAAACCGCACTGCAGCGCGTGAAAACGCTCTTCACCTATGCTTTCAAAATATTCAAGCTGTATACACACTCCCCTCTATACATGTAATGTTAGGTCAAGATGTATGTTATGGGTTCAAATTTGTGTGTGAACGTATTATAGCGATTTGTTATGATCATGATACCATATCAATATTAAAATGGAAAACACGTATTTTCGCTCGCAAGTGCTCGCAAAATGCATGTGTTCAGTCTATGGTCATGGATCAACATAATCACCACGCACAATGCAAACTGGTGCTTGAGATCATGAATTACCACTTACCACCAACACTGAAATTGGAAATTCCAATGTTTGTATATGGGACGAAGTTATGTGGTGTGGAAATACCATCTCCGCGAGACGTATGCTGACTCAGCAGTGCTAATTGTGTAAGCATGAGAGCGGGCTATTTGTGCTAATCAACATCAACATGCGAGCTGTCTCCTGGCGCGAAGGCAGCTGCACCAAGCGAATGAGCCGGGTTCGCTCAGCCCATGCAGGATGCGAACACCTGACCAGCTGCGGCGATGAAAGGTGACAAGAGTTGGGAGGGGAAGGGAAGAGGAGGAGGGACTCGCACCCACACACAGACCAGCTTGAAAGGTGACGAGAGTTGGGAAGGGAAGGGGAGAGGAGGAGGGACTCGCGCCCACACACAGACCAGCTTCACTCACTTTGAGCAGAAAGGGCGAAATACTATGTAAGTCAGCCTGCCATGTTCGGGTGTGGCTTACAGTTAGGTGGTCGCCGTGATCACACGGTGACCACCTTGTTAGCTGAAGCGGTGACCACCTTCTAGTTGTTAGCTGAAGCGTGGGATTTGACAGAGTCGTCGAGCGGCGGACGACCATCCGTTTTTTTTTTGTCGTAAGCTTGCTCAAATAAAGAATAAAACAAAGGTTCATCTTGACACGGCACACTTATTAAAAGCCACGTGTTCATTTTTCACGCGAAAGCCCCAGTGACGAAAATATATCGCAGACATGACACACCAGTAAACTAGATTGCACAAATAAAGGAAGCTTAAGCAAACATCACTGAGAAGCTCCTAAAACAAAACTTTCAAAGCTTGGATTGATTTTGTTGAGTGCTTAGGAGAGCCATTTATACAAACACATCTACATGCTGCCCTCACTTCGCGGCCATGGTGAGGAAAAGGTGCATCCAAATTGTCTTGTATTTTGAACAAACCATACCTCAGAATCAGCATAAATGTTTCATGAAATAAGAGGGAAAACCATGTGTCTTTTATCGCCCCAGCCTGGCTTCCTTGTCTACACAGGCGGTAATTACTGACGCATCAAATGCGCAACGATTGTTGATGTAGAAACAGGCCATGGTGGTAAGTGAGGTCATCCATGTATGCCGTGCCGTGTCGTCCATTTATGCGTGACGAACATACAATATACGATCAGGATAACAGTGCCCCTTCGTATAATACATGTATGTGTTGTTTTGTATTGAATCTTTACCTATCCCTGCGGTAAGTCTTTTCAGGAGTAGCGTCATCACGTACACGGTACAACACAGAAGGTCGGGAAGAAATGCGCCAAGGATGTAATATCAACAATAGTGGAAACAACCCACGGGAGAGAGAAAAAAATTAAAATACGCATAGAAAGAGAAAAAAACTCAGCGTAGTTTCCCAAAAGTCTATGCAACCAAGAACAGAACGAGCAGCTCTCATGAACGCAAGAAACGCGAACGGCGTCGGACGCTCAGTGGCGGCCGGAGGCATCTAATTCCACGAGGCGGCAGCATAGTGACGACACTCCCTTTGCGTGGTCGATAATTTGCACCTCGGCAGCTCCAGAGCTCCGGCCTCGGGTGAGTGGACGACCAGGCGAGACACCGCAGATCGGGGGACAAACATGCGACGAATCGTCTCCCCCCCCCCCCCTCCCAAGTAATTTACAAAAATTGACGCCCCTGGTCCAAAGAGTTTTCAACCCGACGTTTTAGTGATTCTAAGTCTTGAGGGTCAAGCGGCGAGTGACCGGGCACCTGGGAGTCGTCAGCGCATGCCATCGATCGACAGGCCAAGAAGTGACAGTGAAGGCCGTTCGTAAACAGGCTGAAAAGGATCGGTCCGGTGATAGACCCTTGCGGCAGCCCGAAACGGGCCGGCACAGTCGCCGTACCACCCCTCGCCAGCTGGTGAGAGCTAAACCATCGCTCGTCATCGCCTGGCGGTCTCCGGCTGCTGAGATAGCTGCAGAATCATTTTGGGTCGATCACGTACTGTCCTAGTTTGTTTACGAGGGCTCTATGGCCAACGCTGCCGAAGGCTTTGCTAAGATCGACGGCGTCAACTCAGAAAATCTTGCCGCGTCCTGAGTTTTGGCTGATCCACTCGACGGCACCGAGCACGGCGTCCTCAGTACATTAGCAAGGCCTGTAAAAGTATTAATAGCAAAATGAAATCTCGTGGTTACAAAGATACCGAACGAGTTGTTCACGGACAATTTTCTCAGTAATTTTAGACAAGTAAGACAGAAGGGAGATCGGGCGATAGTCAGAGGGCTCGTGCACGTCGCCCTTTGCTTTGTAGACGGTGACTCCCTCGGCAGTTTTCCGCACTTCGGGGACATTGTCCTCCGTTACAGACGCGTTGGCAATGCGCAGCAGATGGGACCAATCACTGTGAAGCGGCGCTGAACTGTCCTCAACGGCACCTCGTGCAAACCGACCGCTCCAGATGAGTTCATGGGTCTCCCAGCTCATGCCAGTTCCGGTAGGGTGACTGGACAGAGCTGGAATGCCGCCGACACAACGATACGGGTCCGGATCAGCTGTGACGCCATCACTCAGGTCGGCAGCGATTCGGGAGCCCACCGACGAGAGCTAGTTGAAACGGTCCGCTCTGGTACGTTGTTCAGCCTCATTGGTGACTTGGGCTGTAGGTTGTAGGCTGAGACAGAGCGCTTCAGGTAGAACCTCTTCGGCGCTAGAAATCACGGTCGTTGGAAGTCAAGAGCAAGCGGCTGAGAAAATCTCGGCGAGCTCGGACTAGCCGATCCTGACCGAGTTCCTGCGACGGAAGAAGTCAGCTTGAGACTTCGGCGTGCGTAGGTCTAGCCAGGCCTGGTGCGCTTCGTCTCGCTTGGACATGGCCTGGCGCAGCTCAGGACTGTCTGTGAGCCATGGGCAGCCCCGTCGGAGGCACAGTATGGTACGGGCTGGGCAGTGCCAATCATGACTGCCCACCATGTCCTCGTGAAGATTTTGAAGATTTTGACAATTTTGTTAGCGTCATCGTTGGTTTCGAGAGAGAACCAATCGGCCAGCAGCATGTCCAACCAAACTGCGTTCCAGTCTGCGTGTCCCCAGTTCAGAGCGGCCTTCTTTGTGGGAAGCTTCCTGAGCCGGCCGGTAGGGGCGCTGGCGACGATTGGCTGGTGATCACCAATAGCGGTTATGAGCACCTCTGCTCCGTACATCGGGGTCTTGACGTTCGTTATGATGTGACCTAGTGCTGTCGGAGTCGGCAGCAGATTCACCGGCTCACCGGTC